AAAAACTGTGGGCAACAAAGTAAAAATTACACAAAATAGTCACAACAATTACTGTATGCCTAACACATGTTTTCGGCTTTTTAATTGTATTTTAATATTTATGTTCTTGTTATGTTCATTTCACTTTAAGAGTTAAGTAATATTTAAGTATATTTATGGCCTCATTTATAAATAACAACTTATTTAAAGACAGTTTCGGGACAATCAGATAATTTATTCTCACTTTCTGAAAAAGTTTGACTTTTGAAAAAGCTATTTAAATATATTTAACAAACATTTGCTATATCGATTACTTCATTTAAAAAGAGACTAAAATTAATTAAATATTTTTCTCCAGTTTCGAATTTACAAACATTTTCCTGTTGCCTTTATTTTTCATTTTTCTTAACAGAGATAAGCACCTCCACTCGATGGCATTCAATGCTTCCTGTTCGCTTTTCCACTTTTCACGACTTCACTTCATTTCGCCTCATGCCGCCCTCATAAATATGCAAAGGAAAATGCAGACCGAAGCGAAAGAGGCAAAAGAAAATGAGGCCCTCCTTGGAAAAGCTGTCTGCAATTTCAACGCCTATTGCCACGCCCAGTTACGTTGGCCGCCAAGGGCGTCAATTGGGAAACTAATTAAGCAACTTTTAAAAATTAAATGCTGGTTAAATTATCAAGCTTTAAAATATATTTGTAATTTATATTATTTTAAATTATCATTTATCAAATTATAAAATACATTTTAAAGCCTAAGAATTTGTTAAAGTAATTTTAGAATTTAGAATTTAAAGACTGAAATTATTAAAACATACATAGCTTAACGTTTAGTTGAGTAAGACTTTTCTATAAATACTAATAAGAAAGTGCAAAAAAAGTATTTAAATTTACAAAATGGAAAAGTTCCCCTTCCCATTTTTCAAGGCTGTAGAACCCAGCCATATTGTTCTTTATTTCCTGTTTGTTTTTCGGCTTCTCGTTGATGTAGTGCCCAGGTTTTTATTGCCAACTTGGGCCATAAAAAGCCAACTCACAATGCACTTTCAGGTGATACAAAAAAAAAACCCCAAAGAGGTTGAAAACTAGCCTATATGCCAACTATGTAGTTGAGTGCTTTTCGAAAGGTACTAAATATTTATTAAGAGACATTGAAATTGCCGCTCTCACTCTTTGGTTTTTGCAGTTTACCTAAAATTATTACTCATACGCAACGTTGTGCGATAGCAATTGTAAGGTCATGGATATATTTTAAAATTATACAGTAACAAGAAAGGAAGCTAACTTCGGCACGCCGAAGTTTGTATACCCTTGCAGATTGGTTTTCATATTTATATTATAAATTATAATGCCGAAAACAGACACTAAACGGAGTTTCATAACATTTTACCTATACTTAATATGTTTACAGTTTGACAGTTACAGTTATACATTCCCAGCTTTACATTTTCTCTACATCTACGGATCACTTATATGGCAGCTATATTATATAGTTCTCCGATTTTCATAATATTGTTACCAAAATTCTGAAATAATACTAAAAGCTCATGTCTCAAAGTAGATGAAAATACGTTGAAAAACAACGAAGTTATAATTTTTTCTATCACTTTCCCTATCGTTCCTATGGCAGCTATAAGATATAGTCGTCCGATTTTCATTAAATTTATACCAAAATTTTGAAATAATACCAGAAGCTCATGTCTCAAAGTAGATGAAAATACGTTGAAAAAGAACGAAGTTATAATTTTTTCTATTACCTTCCCTATCGTTCCTATGGCAGCTATAAGATATAGTGGTCCGATTTTCATAAAATTTTTACCAAAATTCAAAAGTAATATATAATGGCCATGTCTTAAAAATTGTGCAAAAATGTTAAAAAACATCCAAGTTATAATTTTTTTCTAAAAATTTATCGAACATTTGTATGACAGCTATATGATATAGTCGTCCGATCCGGCCCGTTCCGACATATATAGCAGTGAGAGTATATAGAAGACTATATGTAAAGTTTCATTCAGATAGCTTTAAAACTGAGGGACTAGTTTGCGTAGAAACGGACAGACGGACAGACGGACGGACAGACGGACAGACGGACGGACAGACGGACATGGCTAGATCGACTCGGCTGGTGATGCTGATCAATAATATATATACTTTATAGGGTCGGAAACGTCTCCTTCACTGCGTTGCAAACTTCTGACTGAAATTATAATACCCTGCAAGGGTATAATTAGTAATAAATATCTTAAATATTAAATTAATTTTTTTTAACTTGCACCCGCCTTTCTTTGCCTTTATTGCATGTATCACTCATACGCCATGTTGTACATGTTAAAGATATCACTTGAGTTATTTTATTTAAGTAATAAAAATATAAATATTATTTAATGAGCTATTTTTTCTTATATCTGCCACTCTGCCATTCTGTTTTCTTCAATGCAATTATCACTCATACGCCGTGTAGTACATTAATAAATGAGTTACTTTGTCTAAATATCTCCTCAGTTTCGTTTTCCTTTAATTGTTATTTTTATTAATATGTAATTAATTTTGTTTTATAATCTTTGTACTTATTCTCGTTACCCACCAATGCATTTATTACTCATACGCAATGTTGTACAAGTTACAGATTTTACTTGAGTTTTTTTATTTAAGTCTTAATAATATACATATTATTTAATGAACTATTTTATTTAAATACCTTCCTAGTTATTCTTTGTACTTATTCTCGTTACCCTCCCATGCATTTATCACTCATACGCCGCGTAGTACTAGGCCTGTGAACATTAACCACAATCAATATGGTTAGCTACACCTCAAATCGAAGGGGAAGTGTATGGGGAGCTTGTGTTAAGCTTGAGGCTAACTAAATGTCGGCATCCTGAGCTGACAGTTCTTGTCATTTAATTTGTCATTTCCCCCGAGAGAGAGAGAGAGAGATCCAGCTCAGGCGAAATTAAGCGACGTCTGTTGGCTGTTGCCAGAATGGATAGATGGATGGATGGATGGATGGATGGCTGCCGAGTCCCCTTCCCTCTCATCTTTCATTTCAGTTGAGCTCTCACCTCATCTTTAGCTTTAGCTTCGGCTTCACCTTCAGCGTTCAGTCAGCTTGAAAGCACTTCAAAGGCCATCATCTTGACATTTTGATTTATTGGCTTCGCTGCTGTTGTTTGCTGACTTGGTCTGCGGCTTTGCTGTTGCCTCAGACCCCATACCCGGTGCCGTTTGGCTTGTTGCTCCTCATTCTTGGCCATCTTGTTGCTGTTGTTGCTGTTGTGGCTGTGTGCGCGCTGTTCCTCTGCGGCTTGTTGCTGATGTTTGGCAGTAAGCCGCTTACAAGTATTGGCCCGCCCGGATACTTGGCTGTGCCAAACCGCCAAACAGCTTGGCTCTCAGCCGAGAGACTGAAAACGATAACGAGAACAAGGTCTTGGTCCTTATACATGAAAAATGTCTTTAAAATGAATTTTTAAAAAATTACAAAAAATTTATATAAAACAAGCTAAAACACGGGTGTAATTATTCCAAAAGTGAAAACAAAAACCTTGAAAACCTATATAAAAACATTGTATATATATTTTAAACAATATACATTATCATAAGCGATTTAAATACATATGATTTAAAATGTTTCTTATTTTGCTCAGTGAAACTTAGTGCTGCCAAAACTACCGACATTGGCCTTTGACAGCGAAATATACTCCCAGCTGCTGGTCAAGACCCGGACCCGGATCCTAGCTTCATCTGCGGATCCTTGTCCTTGCCCAAGTCCAAGTCCAGGACCTAGTCCGCCTCCTATGCAGTTCTTCTGGCGGATGCAACAACCCAGTTAACGAGCTCGTTATGGCTCATTGGCCTTTGGGTCTGGCCCCATCGAATGCAGTTTGGCCAATGCAAATTGAATTCCAGCTCAGTCGCCGCCTCCCAAACAGGAATGCAAATTAAGCGAAAGCTTAATAGGGGCGGAATAATGCCAAGTGGGGTGAGGGGCGTGCCCGTGCACATAATAACATACAATTATTTGAGCAAACGGTATCAATTTTAAATCGCTCTGCGGCTGCAGCTATCGAATCGAGCTAATTGTGCTAATTAGTAAGTAAACCTAGAAAATCGCATTGCAAAGAGAGTGAAAATAAATCGCAGCAAATATTGGTAGACTTAAAACGCATATTCCAAAGTGGCGACCAGAAGTAGAATATTAGAAATAAAAAATAAAATAAAATAGAAAATAGAAAAGAGAAAGCAGAATTGAAAGAAAGTAATAGAAAGCTTTCACTATTTATAATCATATACCATTAGCTATAGTTAACTTTAGATCAAATTACTACCTTAAAAGAACCCAGCTTTCCTTTCCCAATTTTCCTAAATCTTTCAATGCATTGTCCCTGCTGTAAGCGAGGGAAAAACCTGAGAGGAAACACTACTTGATAACGAATATGAAAACTTTTTGGCCAAAGTTTGGACCATTAAACTTTGTACTTGTTGAGGAAATCGCCAAGTATTCCTCTCTCCGCGAAGCAAAAATCAAGCCGAGAAAGATTAAAAAAACAGAAAGAATATCAACAAAAAACTAAAAGTAAATAATAAAAACGGAAGGAAAACCCGAATTTCCAGCAGGGCGCAGGCGTCAAATTAAAGAGCGGACAGCTCTCTCGCAGCTAAACAAAAATTAATGATTTCCCCCCTATATATAAATATTTGATATAGGCAAGATATATATTTTTCGAACTTCTGATTTCCCCTGAATTTCCCAAAAAAAAAAACTACATTTATTTCGAATGGTTTCTTAATTTAGCAGAAATCAAACGAATTTTAAGTTTTTCCGATTTATTTACGATGTGCGTAAATCTATATAGTAGCTATGGTAGGAAGTTGAGAGCAGCGGCTAGAGAGAGTGAGAGAGAGAGTAGAGAGTGCGGCGGAGAGAGTGTGAAACGGATGCGTGGAAAGTTGCCGGCGAAAGTGTGGAAAACGAACCGTTGCGGCGGAAAACTCGCTCAGTCGAGCATTAGACGCCAACGCGTTCGGTCACTCTCTCTCTCTCACTTCCACTCTCACTATCTCTCTTTGTCTCAGTCTTCGTCTCCGTCTGCGTCTCTTTCTCCGCCTCCACCTCCGCTTCCGTCTCCGCCTCCGTCTGTGTCTCCAGGGGAAAAGTGTGAAAAGTTGTCACTGCTCTTATGTATACAAGTGGGTATAAGAAAAGGTTTAAACACTAGATTTAGCTTGATTAATTTTAAGTTACATTTATTTTAAATTTTAAAAATTTATTTTATATTAATTAATAAACAGAATTTACTCTTTTTGACTTAAATTTAGCCACCCGGCATCGTTACGATCTATAAATATGGCCTTTGATTCGATTTTCGATTTCATTTCCGAGCTGCAGTCGGTGGCCATAAATCAAAACATAAAGCTGAAATCGTAATTAAAGGCCTTTGAAATCTATTATTAAAAATAAAAACAAGCAGATCAAGCATGGAATTAAATAAGATTATTAAAATATATTAAATATAAATAATATTATAAAGAGTTTCAAAGAAGTTAAAATCCTTGAAATCATTTTCTACATTTTCCCAGCAGAAAAGGAATTTTTTAAAATAAAAAAACCAACATTTAATAATTTATTATTTATTTTAAAAAAATATTTATACTTATTTTATTTATTAAAAATTATTATTTATTGTTTTTCATATATTTTCCACCTTCCCCTAGCTCGCCACCTTTTCCGGTAAAATGTTTCTGGCCATCAACCAGAGCCTGCACAATGGCGGCAAGAAGAAGCGAAAGCGACGGCCTGCCGATGGCCAACAGCAAGATGATCCGCAGGATGATCCTGCCGAGGGTCCACCCCCGGGTCCGCCCCTGGAGTCCAGTGCCTCCAGCGATCAGCTGGTGGACGGGGATACTCTAGCCACAACCAGCATCTGCCAGGCGTGCAAGTGCCCCGGAAGACAGTCCTCGCTGATGCTGATCTACATCTACCTGGGTGCTCTCACCCTGATCCTGGCCAGCCTGGCCATCGTGTGCTATACACAGGCCCAGGATGAAGGCTCCGCATCGCCGGTGGGCGGTCCCGCCTCCGTCAGAGCCTTCCGAGCGCAGTTCCAAGCGGAGCTGTTGCGATCGGAGGACGTGCTGAGGACAGTGGTCAGCCGGATACTGGAGAGCGAGCAGGAACCGGAGGCCAGGTGGGTGTCTGGAGGAACTCTCCCTTAACTGAATTAATTTAACAGATTGTATCCACCGCAAGCAGTGCCATTCCTCGTCAGAATCCCCTCAAGAACGAGCGCAAGTTTACGGACAACCTGATCAGTCACACGCCGCGACCCACCGGAAAGCGGATGCGCCGGGACATAGCCTCCTCGTCGCCCTCCTCCATGCACGGCAAGTGGTCAAGGGAAGGGAATCCTTTTGGGTATCCTTCTAACCATACATTTCCCGTATCCCTTCAGCGGATCCAGTGATCGAGTTCTTCAACCCCAACCACCGCAAGGTGCTCGAGGAGCAGGACACCGAAATCCGCAAGCGAACGGGCCAGAAGGGAGCTGCGCCCGGCGGCGATGAATGGATCTACCTGAACACCTACTGCCGCGTCCCGGAGAAGATCATCACGGGCTTTTGCAAGGGCACCCAAGACTATTGCCCGCCGGCGCCACAGGGTCCCACCGGCGAGGTGGGCCCCAAGGGACCCCAGGGCAATCCCGGGCTACCCGGTATTCCCGGGCCCAAGGGCAACAGGGGCGATGTTGGTTTACCCGGAGCACCCGGCGTCGATGGTGTAGGACATGCGGGTCAAGCGGGACCACGTGGACCCAAGGGTGATGCTGGGGCCACCGGCAGAGCCGGCTTGGATGGACGGGACGGTGTGCCGGGTGAGCCGGGCCTGGATGGGGTGCCGGGACGAGCGGGGGCCGATGGCAAGAATGGGCTATCGGGTCGAGACGGCAAGGATGGTCTGCATGGCAAGGATGGCAAGGATGGCATGTCCATAACTGGGCCGAAGGGCGCTCAGGGACCGCCAGGAGAGCGAGGCTTGAAGGGCATCGCAGGACCACGTGGTCGTCCCGGCAAGCCGGGCACCAATGGCACACCCGGAGTGCCCGGCATCAATGCCTGGAAGATGCAATTCCCCAACGGCAGCTCCTCCAATGATCTGCTCATACCGCCCTCCATAACAGGTGAGTGGGTGGGACCATAAGGAGATCCTCTCTAGGTTAACTCTGTAATCCATAGATCTTCACTCGCCGGAATTCAATCGCATTGTGATTGTGGAGGAGGGACGCTCCCTGAACCTGAGCTGCTCGGCAACGGGGAATCCTGCTCCGCAGGTGGAGTGGCGACGCGAGGATGGACGCACCATTAATGTGAATGGCATGGAGAGTGAGTATGCTCCTCCCTTAATATCATAATACTATCCACATCCTTCTTTGTAGTGGCCTCCATCAATGGCCAGTTCCTAAAGTTCACCAACATCACCCGACACCAGATGGCGGCCTACACCTGTTATGCCAACAATGGCATTGCACCTGTGGCCAATGCCACCTTTATTGTGGAGGTACACTGTGGGTATTCTTACTCCGATCTAATGCTATATATAGTTTAATATCTGTTATATATACAGTTGCTCCCATGATATCGGTGTATCGCCAGATGATTTATGCCGAGTACCAGAGCAGTGCCACCTTGGAGTGCCTGGTGGAGGCCTTTCCGGAGGCCATACGCTACTGGGAGCGTGCCTACGATGGCAAGATACTTGATCCCAGCGAGAAGTATGGCATTGAATCGTACCCAGAGGGGTGAGTAAAGATAATACCCATATACCAATCTATATATTTATATATTTTACATTTTCAGGAGCTTCAAGACATCCATGCGCCTGACCATTAGCAACCTACGAAAGGATGACTTTGGCTACTATCATTGTGTGGCCAGGAATGAGCTAAATGCCACCATGGTCAACTTTGAGATAGCACGTAAGTCCATATATCTATATAATATTTCTTCTAAATATACTGAAACTCTCTTTCCCCGAATTTCAGCTCAAGATCCCAATAGCGAAACCCCCTATGTGGGCAATAGCATCAAGGTGTATGGCCAGAGACCGCCGGAGAGTGAATGTCCCGTTTGCGATCAGTGTCCTGATCCTAGGTATATATCTATATATTCTACAATCTATAATATATATTATAGATAATAATATATATTATAATAATTCTTTCTTTACCCAGTCTCTACCAGTGCAAGGACTCCATCCTAAACAACTTTGAGATACAGGCCACAGGCAACCTTAGCTATCCGGGACTGCCCAAGCGACCCAAAAGTGAGTACAGTAATCCTAAAAAAATACGTCTCTTGATTTTATATTCGTAATATTCCAGCCTGCTATCTATATGCGGTGGGAAAACCTGTTTTCCACAAGGTGGTCAATGAGAAATTTGGCTCCTGGCTTAGGGATCCTGCCCCGGAAAGTGATCGGGAGAAGACTTTTGTGACCAATGAGAATGATCCCTACAATTTGTTTGAGTTCACCACACGCATTCAGTACCGGATGAACAGTGTGCCCAGGAGGAAGTACGAAATTTCAGAGGGTTTCCATGTAAGTTTCGAGTATTTTTACTCTCTGAGAGTCCTTTCTTTACCCCCTCTACCTTCTCCCAGGGCAATGCTCATGTGGTGTTCAATGGCTCGTTCTACTACCACCAAAGGGGCTCGGACCTGGTGGTCAAGCTGGACTTGACCAGTCTCAAGAAGATCAGTAAGTAGGTCCAATGGATGGTTAGATCCTATGATCCTATAATCCCACATATATTTGCAGCCACACAATTGCCATATGCCGGAGTGGCAGCCGCCAATAGGCTGTACACGACGGACTACAACTACATGGACTTCAATGTGGACGAGGTGGGACTGTGGGTGATCTATAGCACTTATAGCTCGAACAACACGCTGGTGGCCAAGGTGAGTCAATGATGATAAAACCTGGAATACCAAGGATACTCAGGGATATCACTTTTCACTCTCTCTCTCTCCAGCTGGATGCGGACACCCTGAAGATGCAGTACAACTTCAACATCACCCTGGACCACCGGCAGTTCGGCGAGATGTTCATTGTGTGCGGCAACCTGTATGCCATCGATTCGGGAACGGATAAGAATACCCAAATCCGTTACGTGGTGGACTTGTACAAGGGCAAGCTGCTCAACACGAATCTGCCCTTCTCGAATCCCTTTAGCCACACCACCACCGTGGGTTACAATCCCCTGACAGTGGTTAGTATTTCCTCTCTCCCTTGACTTTCTAGATATTTTTTTATTAGATTCGGATATTTCTCTTTAGGAACTCTACTCCTGGGACAAGGGCAACGCCCTCACATATCCCATACGCTACAATGAGCAGCGTCTTATCTCCGATAATAGTTAGGAGTATTCAATAAATAGATCTAAAAGATCTAGCAAATGCAGAAGTCTAAGCTCAAATCTATATCTAGTCTAAGGCACAATAAATAAATGGTTTTTTTTTTTCAACAATCGTGTTTCTTTTTCTTAATTCCTCTGGGTCTATATGTTTAGGGGTATCATGGGTTTTGTTGTGTGTGAATTGTGCTCTTCACAAGTCTGGAAATTCGCTAATTGATAGGTACAACGAGAGGGAAAGTGTGCAGGAAAAGCACTTAAGGCTTTGGTGTGAACTGCTAATTTGTCAATAGCGGGAGCAAAGTAAATAATAATAGAGAAATACAGGATTTGTGGATAGAGTATACAGGGGGAAGAGCAAATGTTTACTCTCTATGGGGAAGAAAGAAACTCACTAGCAGTTTGCCACAAGAGAGAGAGAAATATCTATTGCGAGTTGCCACCTAATTTAATATCGGTAAGAAAACTAATAAGATTGCAAAGATGTATCTTTGAATACTTAATATATAAAATAGGATAGGATATTTTGGATATATATATAATATATATATTTGAGAAATCCAAACAAACCATTCCGACCCAGACACTCCTTGTAAAATTCCCTGTAAATTCCATTAAAATCCAATAGCACTCTTCCCCCCCTTCCATTGTCAATTAGCTGCAATAATGTTGACATTATCCGGACCTGGTTCCATTAATTATGCCTGCTTAAAAACGGGCCTGGTCCGAAAGCTGGCAGCAACAAGTCCACCTCTGAGGGAGCACTAAAGATGCCACATGCGTGGAGGCTCGAGTTAATCAGACCTTTGGAAAATGTGAGAGAGGAGGAATGGACGAGAATGGGTGACGTGGAGGAATAGAAGGAAGGACAGGGGGACAGGCTATGTGGCTATGTAGGCCATGTCAGGCGGAGGCCTGACTGGTAGAGTGACGGCCTGTCAATAAGGGAAACCAGCCAAGTTCCGCACGTAGAGCGTTTCGATGTTTGGCAGGACCCCCTTGGCACCAGCCAGCGAAAAACAAACTGGGATTTTACAAAAAAAAAAAAAAAAAAAAAAAAAAAACATAGGAAGTCAACTAATTTATGAAAATATTAATTCGAATTTAAAATAAATCAATGAAGAAACCCATTTGATCAATATCCATTTTTGTGACAAGCCTGATTTAAATTCAGCTCTTTTGGCTTATAATTTTTCTCAGTGCATTCCAGCTTAGAAGGAGTCCCCGGTGTCCCCTAGAATCTCGTCAATTGCGTTGCATGTTTGACAATTCTGCATTTTTCGTTGCTAGAAGCTGCTTCTTTTCGAAATTCCTTTTGGATTTGGAACTCTTTTTATACCCTTGCAGGGTATTATAATTTCAGTCAGAAGTTTGCAACGCAGTGAAGGAGACCCTATTAAGTATATATATTCTTGATCAGCATCAACAGGGGAATGTTACATTGTTAAAATTTTTGATTTTGATAACAAATTGAATTTTCAAAATTTTTAAATGAAGTATGGAGATTTATTAACTGTAGAAAATCTTGCACAGAACAGTTTTCCGATTTAAAATTAATGCTCTTTTGGCCGAGTTATGATATTTTTAATTTAAAAAAAAATCAAGAAGCTTTTTAATATAAAAAATCAGATTTTATAATACAAAATAATATTTTTCTAAGTCAAGGAATCATTTTCGACCCCATAAACCCTATATATTCTTGATCAGCATTAACATGCGAATCTTTCTAGACATGTCAGGAAGAAATCGATTTTTTAGCCATTTTTGCGAAATTTTATAAGGGGTTACATCATTAAAATTAGCAAAAAAAGGCCGAAAATTTTGATTTCGTAAAATTTTAAATTGGGTATGCAGTTTTTTTAAATTAATAAAAACTAACACAAAACTGCTTTCCGAATCGAAATTAATACATTTTTGGCTTAGTTATGATATATTTTATTTGTTATCTGCAAGGGTATACAAACTTTGACTGGCCAAAGTTAGCTTTCTTTCTTGTTTTTTTCTTTTTTTTGGTTTATGGAGGACTCAAAGGATCTGGTATCCACTCCCATCATGGATTGCGGCAAAACGCAGCTGGCATTGGGGCTTCCTAAGTAAGGATTTCCTTAGAGAGAAGATAGTATTTTCAGTAGATAAAAACACAGTAGAAATATTTAAAATTTCTAAAATTTAAACAATTAAAATTCGTTAATCCTTTACTACCTACAATACCAGCTCTAATTGGGGGAAAATCAAAAAGCACTTTGGCCAGCTTTATCCTCAATTTGAATCCTTGCCAAAGGAGAGAAGACGAGACTACCGGAGGCCGGACCATCTGTTGGCACTGACCATCAATCAATTAACACCGACCTTTGCCCTTTCAGCACGAGTGTTTTGATTTATCCAGTTTTAAATATATATGTTTATATAATTTCGAGTGTTTTCTCTTTTTTTTTTTTTGGCTCAATGCCAGCGAAATCGTTTGACTGGGCTAATCCCCAGTTTTATTTCCAGCGCCAACTTTCCTCTATCATTTTTCATTTTTCTTTTTTTTTTTTGTCTTGTTTCCTTGTTGAGGCAGGCCCATCTGGTGCCGTTTGTAAGGATAATGCGCTCTTGTCAAATTGCCAAGAGGCGGGACGGAGACTGCAGGATGTAGAGGGGCGGAGGGACCTGGAACAGCTGTTGGACGCTAAGCTGTTCTCCGCCTCCACCTCCTCCTGCTCCTCGCTAGATTGCTCCTCTCTGGCGTCTTATTCCGCCGGAATCCGCTGGAGTCCGTGGACAAACAATTTTCATGCTCGAGCGGTGCCATGTCCGCTCCACTCCACTCCAATCCACTAGATGCACTGGCAGAAAAACTGGGCTAACTATTGTTTTTTTTTTTTTTTTGAATTAAATTTAATATTTATATAGATATTAATATATATTTAAAGGCATCTTATTATTTGTTCGTCCTTTCAAAAAACATTTACTTAGCTTTGAATCACAAATAAAAGGTTTTCCTTAAGCCGCTATCCACTTTCCCAACCACCCCGGCCCACGGCCCTCAAGCCCCCCCTTTTCACTTGTGTTTAGCAACAGTTTGCTTCATTAAATTGCAAACGAGCATCAGGAATCCAGTGTCTCCTGGGGGAAATGGAATGAGTGCTCGGATCCAACCGGGGGAAAAGTCGATAAGAGGATGGGTGGGGGGATAAGCGGAGGAGGTCACTGTTTACGTTTTAATCAAAATGCAAAATGTAATTTGGAATTTTAACATGAACAACGTGAGCGGGTCACTGGGCCATAAAGACCCATACAATTTCATGGCTTAGCAAAGCTTTCCTTATCAGAGCAAAACGGTAGCCAGTGCTGGTCAACAAATGACTAAATCAATTGGATACAAAAGAGTAAAAATTCATTAAAAATTAACTAAATAACTAGCATATTTTATTAAAAAATCTCTCATAACTCCTTTAGAGTGGACCCATGCTATAGAAATATTAGACAAAATTCAAATTGTTTAATTTTTAAATTAGCATAAATAAAGCCTAATAAAAAAATAAAACTAAAAAATGCAACCCAAGAAAATACAAATAGTATAGCCTGAATTTACAACACTAAATGGTCCTTGCCAGTGTTGGAAGATTGGCTTTACCCTGGCCCAAGACTGGACAAAGGCGTAAGTGAGAGCGAGCGAGAGCGAGAGAGGAATAGAAGTGCGATAGAGACAGTCATAGCAATTACAAGGGGCCGACGTCCCAGGCAAAAGGGCCAATAATCATGGTCGAAGCTGCCAATCGTTGATGCGTTAAATTATTTCTCGTAATAAACCCGGAGGGCGTCAGCGTCAGATGTGATGAGTGGAGGTGGTGATCCGGCCACCCAGCAGTACGGGGTGGCAAGGCCGAAGGCTAGTGAAACTTTAATGAATGACCCCGTCAAACGCCAGGGATCACTTGAGAAGGCAATAATTTGGCTTAAACGCTCGTAAATAGGAGACTCGAGGTGTCATAAGCTTAACGAGTGAATTCTGGAAGAGCTTATGAGTTAGTTTTTAATAAGTAAATAAATCTGTATTCTTTAATTTAAATATTAATCTGTAAATATAAACGATTTTTGGAAAAATTAAAACCTACAAAAATCTTTAAAAAGAGATTTGCCAAATCAATAAAGGCAGAACTGGTTGTTCGGATTCGGATCCAAATGGGTCGCCTGGCAATCAATTGATTGCAATGACTGCCATGCCGGGATATATGTATATATATATATATATATATATATATATATATAGTAAATCCTCTCTAATCCCGTCCATGCCAGAGTTCCCCCATTTCAATTTTCCGTTTGGCAGCTCGTTTGTTGATTGGGAGGTTTGTTTAGACGATGAGAAAGGAGCAGGAGAAGCTGTATGTAGCTGGATGGGAACAAGGCAGAGGCAAAAAGGATCCATTGTGGGTTAGACAATGCCCCTGATGGCTCTTGCCGCGTGCCAGAGACAATGGGGCGGATGCACAATGCCGGCCATCGGGCAAATGGGCACCGACTTCTCTCGGTCTCGTCTCGAAATAAACCCCGACAAGTGCCGACCTCTGGCACCCCGTATGCATTGTACTTTTAAATGCGTTAATTGAGTGCCACGAATTGTCTTTCAGCGCCTTCTGTTTCGTTTTTGGCTTCCTTTGTGCAAAAATTCCTCTCCTTCCTTGTTTTTCTTTTCGAGGGGGCACTCTGCAACACAAATCAAAGTCAAATGGTCAAATGAGACACGGTCTAGAGACGGTAGCAAAAGGGAGGGGGTTACCGCAACCGAAAGTTGTATCAAAATCTGGGTTAATGGGACCAGGAATTGGCATATCATTTAATCGAATGTGTCCCTCGAAATTGATGTTCATTCTTTTGTCAATATCAAATATTAGTCATAGATAAATTCAATTAAGAGGATAGAGAAAAGGCTTGGGCGGTTTTATGATTAATATAATAACATAAAACCCCTTAAATAACACCCCGATTATGCCTAATTCTCTAGCTTAATAGAGAATTTATAAATACCATTTATTTATTTATTTTCACTTTCATTATTTGTTTACTGTGTCACATTTTAACAATATCTATTATTGTTAACAATTTGTTTAT